AGTGGAAAAAATTGATCCCCTTCGTATTATCTCTGTCCTCTGGTTATATTTTTCATATGATGCCATGTGGGCTATGATTGCTCAGGGACAAACTTCTTGGACCGCTCGTTTTGAGTTATCCAGGACACGACCTCGACGCGGCCGGCGCCATTTATATGGTGGTATGTGACTTTGGCTGTCATAAAAAAAAAGGCGAACCCAATAAGAAGACATCCAAATAATTTGTGTGGGTTAGACAACGGTTTAGCATTAAAAATTTGGTTGTCACGGTAATGCCAGATTGATCAACATAATGTCTTAGTTCCAATTAAAACCATCTTTTTGATAGACCTAGTTACTCCATAAACCAAATAGCAAATGCATTTTTAGCATTAGAAGTAAGAGGATATTGAAAGATAAAACACATATCTCCCAGCAATGTGCAGCGACATGGAAAACACTCAAATAAAATGTATCAGATATGTCTCTTGTGAATAGTAGAAGCAACAATTAATGTTTGTCCTCACCTATTTCGTTTAGCCAGGCTATCCTTCATTATTATTATTTTCTTTGAAAAAACCACGTAAAGATCAGATCTTGTGAAACCTTTTAATCGCATATAGTACTCTCGCTGATCCTAATTGAAGTTCATCAAAATTCTTCCGTTGCAAAAAAAAGATTCCTTGTGGTCAATCTGTCCAAATTTCTTCTCCATTTTTTTCAAATATGTAGGCTATAGCGGTTTTTGACGCACGTACATTTGTTATTTAAATGAGATGGTGCTATTTGTTTTGTTGGAACATACTGTGGTGTGCCACGAAAATTACGATTTTAGAACCTCTTCCTACGTACGTCGCATATATATCCAACAGCTGGTGTGATGTTGGATCCCCATAAGCTTGAGTATGAAATCAATATATTGTGGTTGACCTCGAGATTTCTATATAGCATCCGTATTTGTCAACAATGTCAACTCTATTTTGTTAGTTACAAGTGGGATATTCAGAAGAAACTGTCGTTAGACGAAACTGCAGAGTGTATATATATGCGTAATACTGCACACGTCGATGCATTACATTGGAAAACATGCTATCTGTACAACATTTCGACGACAAGATTTTTATTTTTTTAGGGAATGCTTTATTGATTTGAAAATATAATTACACATCGTTAAATTGAAGCTAAGGTTTCATCGACCTAGATACATGAATTTTTTTTTCAAAATAAAAGCTATGTTGACTAATTCACGAGCAACTTGCTTTCCTATTACAACGCTCAATAGAAATCATATCAAGAGAGGATTAATACGGAGTAAGTTAATTTGCATTCTTCGTATATACTCCCTCCGTTTCATAATGTAAGACTTTTTAGCATCGTCCATATTTATATAGACTATATAAATATGGACGATACTAAAAAGTCTTATATTATGGAACGGAGGAAGTAGCAGCCACCGCCACCGCCAAAAAAAACCTCCATCTAATTAACATGCTCAATGGTAGAAATAAGAGAGGATTAATATGGAGTAAGTTTTTTTTTCTTCGAGCACAAGGAAATTATAGAAATTAAGAGAGATAATTGTACATTGCCCCGACTGTGAAAAATCTCGTTGGGCTGCAGACGGTCCTGCCCTCTGTTTAAAAAATCACTTTTAGCCACCTGCGAAAATACTTTTTCTAGTAGTACATATCACCATCGACGACCCTGACCGGCCGGTGTGCGTCCACGTCTTGGTGAAACAACGGCCGTGCGCCTCGTGAGCGATCGATCGATCGATCGAGCACGATCTCAAATACAGGATATCACATGCCAACTCTGCCGCTGCTGTACACAAGCCTCGTTTTCAACCTTTTCCCACTAGTGGAGAAAGTGTTTTTCCTCCCGGTTGGTAACCCCCTATACTCTCGGTTTTGCAACCGGGAGTAGCAATCCGGGACTAAAGATACTCATCTTTAGTCCCGGGTGAAATAACCGGGACTAAAAATCTATCTTTACTCCCGGTTGGTGATAACAACCGGGATTAAAGATAGTGATGCCAGCGCTAGTACCGGCCACTGTTTTTTTTATTATTTTCTCCCAAATCAAGTTGGAACTGCACAAATCTCTTCCAAATCAACCAAATCAAGTTGCTCCCTGTATCCCCAAATCAAAATCAAAGTATCATCACAAATTCTCAAGAAACAATACATCAAGAAATACATCACAGATTATACATCACATATCCAATGAATCACAACTTCTAAAAATTCTCAGATCCATCACAAATTCTTAAGAAAAAAAAATTGAGTTGCCGCCGGCCGGCTGCCGCGCGCCACGCCGCTGCCCTCCCATCCGCGCGGCCCGCCGGCTCCAGCCGCCCTCCCATTCGCCGCCGCCCGTCCTCCCTCCGCGCGGCCCGGCGCGCCAGCCGCCGCCGCCGCCCGGACTCGGCCACCGGCTGCCCGCCAGCGCGGCTATGCCGCCGCCCTCCCATCCACGCAGCCCGCCAGCTCCAGCCGCCCTCCCATCCGCCGCCGCCCGCCCGCCCTCCGCGCGGCCCGGCGCGCCAGCCGCCGCCGCCGCTCGGACTTGGCCGCCGCCCGCCCGCCCTCCGCGCGGCCCGGCGCGCCAGCCGCCGCCGCCGCTCGGACTTGGCCGCCGCCCGCCCGCCCTCCGCGCGGCCCGGCGCGCCAACCGCCGCCGCCCGCCCGCCCGCCCTCCGCGCGGCCGGCCACGCCAGCCGCCGCCGCTCGGACTTGGTCACCTAGAGAGGATGAGGCGGGGAGGGGGAGGAGAGGTGAAGGGGGAGGAAGAAGGGGATAGGAGAGGGGAGACTTCTGAGACGATGGAGATATCTAGGCTGGCTGTTAATTTAATGCAAAGAGGGGGAGAGGAAGGGGCAGGGGGATAAGATTGATGACGACGACTGTGGACTGACAGGCGCGTGGCTTGGGGTAAAGTTTAGTCCCGGTTGGTATAAACAACTGGGACTAAAAATCTATTTTTAGTCCCGGTTGTTTATACCAACCGGGACTAAAGATAATTGGGGACTAAAGATAATTGGGGCCCTGACTCGTCCGGACAATTTTTTGAACCGGGACTAAAAATGATCTTTAGTCCTGGTTGGTGTTACCAACCGGGACTACAGATCAAAAAGTTTTTAACCGGGACTAAAAATGATCTTTAGTCCCGGTTTAAATAGGAACCGGGACTATTGTGGATTTTAGACGACCGACCAAAGATAGTTTCTCTAGTAGTGTCCTTCAGAAGTTCAGATGATGATATGATTGAAGAAAACGAGAGATAAAAACAAAAGGCTGAAAATGAGACTTAGGACCTTTAGTTTCGACATTAATTTGCCATGTCTGATCTTCTTGGTCTCAAGACGTGTCACCCCGGCTACCATTTGGCTGCAAATAGATGCCAGTTTAGCTGGAGATTGACCTGGAGCAATGCAGTCCAACTATATTTATACATCTTGTAGCCTGATTAAGCCGGCCGGAACAGGTTTCCATTACCGTCGGTAACCGCGTGGTTACCATAGTTACCAGGCTTACCGCGGAGGTACGTTAAAATAAATACCACAGTAACCTCCTTAAATTCAAATAAATTTAAAAAATAATTTGAATTTTTAATAAATTTTACACGGTTTTCCACGGTTACCGTAGTAACCGCGTGGTAACCGTGCTTACCACCGGAGCGCGGTAAACCCGGCCCCGGCGGTTTGGGAAACCCTGGCCGGAACATACATTCTTCGCCACCATTGTTGTCATCTCATTTTCCTAATTAAATTATGTAGACATGTTTTATAACTTAATGGTTGTGTAACTTAACAACTGGTTAGACTTCTTGTGATGAAACCAGTCCAGTAATATATGTGAAAAAAAATAAACCGGGACTAAAGATGATCTTATCTTTATCTTTAGTCCCGGTTGGTAAGTTCCGTTGCGCTTTTTAACCGGGTCATGGTTCTATTCGAACTGGGACTAATGGGATTTTTGCAATCCCGGCAAAGATCACTTCTTCAGTAGCGATAACGTGATATCCGTGATGGCTTTATTGATCTTAAGATAGGTCGGTCGTTGAATCGTTCTGACTCTGTGAATCTCAAAATATATTGATCCAGTCTTTCGAAAATGAGAAATTTTATAGTCCTTAAGAAAGTACCTTGAGGTATCTAAATTTTACACTAAAATTTTTGTTACCTTGAGGTGCTTAGTTCCTAAACATATCAAATATTTACTCTAGAAAATATGGTACCTCTAGATACTTTATAAAGGATTAAACGGATAGCATAATCGATTAACGGAAACCTGCAGATTTTGCTTCTTAATGATCAAGCGCTGATCGCTCCGAGCAAACGCGGTTGGGCTTGCAACTAATTAAGCAAATAGTCACTTGAATGCCAAGTTGCCAACGGCATATGGCTTCACTAGATCAATGTGGCATGGTCCTTTTCTAGAAAAAGGACAATATGTCTCGTTCCAAAATTGTGATAGCTCAACATTATGAGAGACCAGACATATACAAACTGATCTACTACTAGATGGATAGGACCTACTGTCAAAATTGTGTCCTACTGTCCTTGTTTCTTGATCTCACATGTGCATTATTTTTTTTTGAACGACTCGCACGAGACGGTGCGAAGTTTTATTGATAGAGCAGGAAAAAAATATAAGATTACAACCCCGGAGAGTCGTAACCAGGGAAAGAAAAAAATACCACCACAACCGGATCGGCCGTCGCTAAGCGTGGCCGACCGCCACTAGACCAACAAAGGCACGGCTGGCGCACCGATGCTCCACCACCGCACAAGCTTTGCCGACATGTGGGACCCCTGCACCGGCGTCCCCTGCCGGCCAGCCTTCGTGCGCCGAAGACCGCGCCACACCCACCGGCAGCTCCTCCTCATACCTAGGTCGCCTCCTCCACCGCTGGCCACGCCTCTCTGCGCCAAGCCGGCCTCCTCCACCGGACGCGCCTCTCGCGCCAATCCGGCCTCCCTCCATCGGCCGCGCCTCTCGCTCCCAGCCGGCCTCCATCTCCGCCGCCCGCGCCTCTCGCGCTGAGCCGGCCTCCGCTGCCATCGGCTACGCTTCTCTGCGCCAAGCCGGTCTCCGACCCCTCCACCGAACGATGCCGCGCCGGCCAGCTACAGCCGTCTCCCGCGCCCTCGGCTAGTCAACCGAGGCCGCCATGCCTCCGATGACCGCAAACACGGTCACCACCACCACAGCCTTGGCTGCCGAACACCCAGCCACCTCGCTCCCGACTCCTTCCCCGCCGCCGACGTCGCCACCGCCTCTAGAGTCACAGTCGCCGTCGCCGCTGCCACCGACGCCAACCACCGCCTCTACAAATCGCTGCTCCGCCGTCGCCCTCCACCACCGAACAGCTAGCAGCCCAACGCCATGTCTTCCGCCGCCGTTGCCAGATGACACGGCAGCCACCACAGCCGCCACCGCCGTCGCCCACTGCCGTCGGCCAACTGCTGCCGCCGCCGTCACCACACCGTCGCCGCCGTCGCCGACTGCTCTCATCCTCCAAATCCAGCTGAGAGGCGCGGATCTGGGGGCACCGCTGCCGTCGCTGCGAGGCATCGAGCCGCCGGCCACAGCAGCTGCGCCTTCGAGCCTGCCGTGGCCACCCGCGCCTGCTCCGCCGTCACGCATGACGTCGCCGCCCGGCCGCCCGTGCCTGCGCCACCGTCGCGTCTGCCACCGCCTGTCGCGGCCGCCAGCGCCCACGCCTCGCCGACGCCGTTCCCGCGCCTCCGCGACCGGATCCAGCTGCGAGCGCGCCAGATCCGGTAGTGGCGACGCCGGATCCGCCGCCATGCGCCTCGACGCCGGCGCCGCTCCGGTCGGCCACCGCCTTTGCGTCCACCCGCGCCATGAGCTCGGGAGATGGCCGCCGCGAGCCTCGCCGCCGCCGTCCTCGCGAGCCGCCGGCTTTGCCGGCCGCTCGCTCAGGCGACGGCAAGGCAGAGGATGGGGTGGGGAAGGGCGGCGGCGGCGGCTAGGGTTCCGCCGCCCGAGTCGCCCAACGCCCACATGTGCATTATGATTGTGGAGTGGCCTACTATAAAATAATCTACTAGCTAAATAACAGTGCGTTGTAACATGTCCTTATCAAAATATCACGGTGTATAGATATATAATTGTCACTTAACATTGTACTTTCAGAGGCTTCTAGCTGTAATGAAGCCCTTTGACATGCCAATGATTATAGTGCTATACAATCATCTATATAGGCTTTGATTGTCTCAAGCATGGAGAAAATGTGTATTAGGGCCTTCATAAATAAATTGATATTCTAAAAGGTTTATTTGGCTATTATATTTCCGTACGAAGGGAGGGATTGAAATAGTAGTGTATGTAACAAAGCATTCAGCAAGAAGGCTAGCTGCTCCCCTTGAGCTTGCCACTATCAGTCTGTGCAGTGAGCGGCCAAATGTGAGCAAGATGGTAGAGTACATAAGAACATAAGCGAACAGTTGAATTTGAAAGGCACATGCTACAACCTACTCCTACACTCTTGCTCCCTCCGTCTCATTTAAAGTGCAATCATAAGCTTACGCGCCTAACTTTGACTGTCCGTCTTATTTGTAATTTTTTATAATTAGTATTTTTATTATCATGAGATGATAAAATATAAATAATACTTTATACGTGACTTATGTTTTTAATTTTTTTAAAAAGTTTTTAAATAAGATGGAGAGTCAAAGTTGTACACGAAAAATCATGGCTACACTTAAGATGTGACAGATGGAGTAACGATTATGACCTACTATATAGACGTTAGTAATAGAGTGGTGGTAGCAGATCCATTAGTCTTTTAATCCGTCAAAAAACATTGCATATATCCTTGTAAAAAAATTAACTTTAAAGGATGAATCTGAACAAATGTTTGTCAAAATTCATCCTTACAAGTGGTTTTTTTTAGACAATGAAAGAAATTCATTAGTTTGTATGAGAAAAATATCGGTTCTACTTAGGAGTATACTATGTTGCAGAAGGTGAAAAATGAACCATAAGATATTACGGGTCAATTTGTGGATCACTAAATGGTTTGTCACTCCTAATAAAACCGGCATTAATTAGATAGCGATACCGGAGCCAGGACTGCCTCACCTCCGTTTCAAATTTTTAGATTTGTCCTAAGTAAAATATTTTAAATATTTTAATATTTTGACCACCAATTTATATTAACTCATATAATTTAACATTATAATATCTATATATATATTTAGATTTGTCTTGAGAATAGTTATATATATAATATATAATTCACATGTTGTTAAATTATGCTAATATCTATATAAAAGTTAATGGTCAAAGGTAGACATTTTAATTTAAGACAAACCTAAACAATTTGAAAAGGAGGAATAACATCTACCTAAATAGTAGACGAGACACTATTTTTTTCTCTCGTGAACTTCACTCCAAATGCGGGTGCTTTCGTTGCAACTTTCATGGATACGATGACAATCTAAGCCGTCGATAACACTATCAGAACTATCAAAACTGTCTTTAATTTGGAACACACACTACTAAAAATCATAGTTAAGAGATGTAGAAGGTATTTCCAAATAATCCACCTGCCTCTAATACAATACATACATATGTAGAATAACCATATAAAAATAGACCATACATATAAATAGATGACCGTGCGCGAATGACTTAATATATTCCTGTGAAAACCTTTTCACCAGCGGATGACTTAACATATTCCTGTGAAAAATTTTTTTCGTAGGTGGACCACTCGGTGTAGCTGCCTATAAAAGTATTTTTCCCAGTCAAGCGTGTTAAGGATCATCCCTCCTGCAAAAATCGATTCCTCATGCGGGAGTACTGCCTCACGAAACATTTTTTAGAGGTGGTCGACTTGATTTAGTGGTCCACCTGCCGAAATTATTTTTGCAGTAGTGATGTATTGAGTGCTTTCTTAATAAAATTGAAGGGTTAGATTAGATAGAATCACACATTGCATTGCCATGAAACCTTGCAATAAAGAAGCCACATATGGTTGTAGATATAGCATTGGACCACTGAACAGGGCTGCCTTGATATACATGAAACAGCAACTCACAGTAGGGGCGTTTTTCTAAGTTCCTTTCCCATGTTTGCATCCACTTGAATTCCAATGGTCCTAGCTAAGGGCACTGTGCCAGTACTTGACACGTACGGTGTGCTATACATGTATAGCGATTGGAGGACTTATTAGTCGTGTTAATTATCCATCCAGATTCGGTGATGGTTATGCACATCAATATAGAGCAGGTCGACCTAAGAGAGAGTTCAATAAAAACTTGTCCAATTTTCATGCATTTCCGTGAGTTTAGATTATACACTACTAAAAATCCGGATACCTTTATACTTTTCTCATAACTTCTCGATTTTATCTCTGTTTAAGTATTTTGACGTAATTTGTCCTGGTTTTTACATGAAAATTTTCACATGTCAAGTTAAAAAGAAGATAAGGGTGAGCATAATTTGCCTCTATTTTTATATGAATTTTCACACCGTTAAGTCCTCTTAATAAATGAGGCAGAGCAAGCTTTAGTTTAAAAAAGTGGGGGTAAATCATAACATTGAAAAGGTCAGGATAAAATTATTACGTACTGGAGTTGAAAACAGAAGAATGTAATTTACTATTACTGTTAAGACTAACTCTCATTCACATACAGCCGAACTGTTGAAGTAGACCGTAAAGTGCATCAATTCTTCATTTGAGTACGATTTGAGAATTGGCCCAACTTTAAAACAACTTAAATGAAGATTTGAGGATTAAGTGAACTTAAATGAAGATTGATGCACATGAATATTTGATGAACTATCCAATTTGTTTTAAAGTTACTTTTGCGTGTTGTTAGGTAAAAAAATAAAAGAACTGTTAGAGATATTGTATTTGTATCCGGTTCGGTTTCTCTCAATCCTATCCCGATTCTGTTTCTATGAGTCAGGTATAGAGATAAGGATGTACCGTCCCTATATGTACTCGTGTCCGTGATCAATCTAAGTTATCGCGTTGACTTTATACGCTCTCATGGTATCAGATTAATCTCCAAATTCGCTTCCGCCTCTCTCTCTCTCGACATGCGTCGCAACTCCTCTTCGCACCCCCGCGCCGCCGTGTCTCCCACGCCGCCGCGCACCACCGCGCCGCCTACCGCCGCAACCTTGCCGCGCCGCCTTCTTCCTCCTCGCCGCGCCGCCTCACGATGGCCGACGATCTGCCGCCACCGTCCATCACTCCCGTGACCGCCGTCGACGCCGCATCGACCGCCGTCGCCGACGCCATCCGCGCGGTCTTCCAACCTGACGCTCGGCATGGCATCGACCCCACCACTGCTGCCAATGTCACCGAATCGGCGGCTGCAATCTCCTCCACAGCCGCATGGAAAGCGTTGATTTCCTTCATCGAGAAGCTCTCGGCGTCCACATCCTCGCAGCCGGACAATCCGTCAGCCAGTGCCCCGGTCAACTCCACTGCAGCAGCCACCATCTCCTCCGCGTCGGCTGCGGCCTTCTTCGCCGGGCTCCACACCAGCTCCGCCGGCCTCCAGCCGCAGCACGACGCCATCCCGCAAGGCTCTGGCGCGCCTCCACCACACGGCCACGGCTCTCTATCCTTCGTCGCCCCGTCACCAACAGCACCGCAAGCCGACCACTTCTACAACGTCGACCTTGATGATAAGGCCACCGCCAACCTCCATGCACAGGCGATATCCGTCCTCAACATCAAGTCGCTTGTACCGGTCACCCTCGACGTCAACTCCGGCACATACACTTGGTGGCGTGGTCTTCTTCTCGTCATCCTCAGCAAGTATGCACTTGCTGATCATGTCCTCACTGACAACTACCGACCAGACCACCCCGACTGGATGCGCATGGACTGTGTCGTCCTCTCCTGGATGTACGGCACCATCTCCACTGACCTCCTGGAGTCAGTCATGACGCATACGACTACGGCAAGATTGGTGTGGCGCAGCCTCGAGCATCAATTTCTTGGAAATCGTGAAGCTCGTGCTCTCAACCTTAACGCCGAGTTTTACAATTTCCAACAAGGCGATCTATCCGTCACCGACTACTGTCGTCGTCTCAAAGCCATGGCTGCCGACCTTGCCGATGTCGGCGAACCCGTTGGCGACCGCACACTCACGCTGGCTACGATCCAAGGTTTGGATGAAAATTTTGCACACTTGCAATCTGCTTTCACCATGCGGAAGCCCTTCCCGTCATTCGCCGAGGTGCGCTCGCAACTCCTGCTGGATGAACTCACCAAGAACCGCTCCCACACCCCGGCTACCACCCTCATCGCTGCCACAAGCGGCCGCACTTCCGGGGGGGCCGCCAACTCCAATCCAGCACACATTACCGGCTACGGCAACAACAGCAACACCGGCAACCGCAACTCCAACGGCCGTCAAGGTGGGAACAACCGTGGCCGCCGTCATAACAACAACGGCGGCAACGGTGGGCAACAGCAACCTCAATTTCGCCCACCTGGCAGCTCGGCGCAAGCGGCCTCCTGGCCGTCCCCGCTCAACCCGTGGAACGGCACTCTCCAGATGTGGCCCGTTCCTGTCGGCATGATCCCGTCACGTGTCGTCGGCTCCGGTTCCGGTCTTCTTGGACCTCGTCCCGGCGCACCATCGCACTTCGCTGGCTCCATGGTTGCCGCCAGCCACAATGGTGTGCCCCAGCACCCTGCCGCACCCTCTGTGCTGGGACATGCCGGACCGGCCCAGTCCCTCGCCGCCTCCACCAGCTACCAGCCGGTCTTCGCCGCAATGCCCTCCACTCCGGGCACACCAGCATCATGGAACGGCAGCGCCAACACGCAATGGGATCAACAAGGCCTCATCAACGCCTTCAACACGGTATCACTGTCCCAACCTCCGTCTAGCGACTGGTATATAGACTCGGGTGCTTCTTCTCACATGACGTCCGATGCCGGTACCCTCTCCTTTTCCTCCCAACCTAACCCTAATACACTGTCTCATATTATTGTTGGCGATGGTTCTCCTCTACCCATCACTGCCACTGGCTCCACTCATTTATCTTTTCCACACCGTTCTTTCGTCCTTAATAATGTTCTCGTTAGCCCTGAGATCATTAAAAATCTTATTGTTGTTCATCGTTTTGCTCGTGATAATGATGTTTCTGTCGAATTTGACAAAGATGGTCTTGATGTGAAGGATTTCCACTCCAGGAACGTGATCGTTTGGTGCAATAGCTTCGGGGACCTCTACCTCGTCCGCCCTA